TATATATATATATATATATATATATATATATACACACTAGCGGTATACCTGTGCGAAGCAGCGCGAGTGAATCACAATTCTAAAACATTAGTTTAGCCTTGAATTATAAGTTTGTGTGCTTATTTTGCAAATCAACTAATATATAAAGTTGAAGGTTAGTATAGTGTATTAGTAAGATTGAACAAAAAAATAATTGCACACGTATTGAGTTTTTAAACCCATATACTCAGAATGAAAAAGTAAAGAAAAATATTTATATTTAAAAAAAAATATGGTTATAACCACCTTTTAATCGCAATTGTATTATCTTAATCCAACGATTTAAAATGACATAATATTAAAACCTTTATCAAGCATACCAAAAACAGCATCCTATAAAGATAATACTTGTGTCATATAGCTAAACAGTATTCTAAAATCTAAGATTTCAAAACCCTAGTTAGCCAAAAATTGAGTGCAAAACTAAATCATGGTTAGTTACTATCCAGTTCTTATACTGCTATAATATATATATATATATATATATATATATATATTCTATACAATCCTTTTCATCTTTTCGACTACCACCGCCGCCGCCGCCGCCGCCTATTTCCGAGTGGTAATGAGAGAATGATTTGGAGGTTACATAATAATCACAATGCCTACCGTCAACTTACATCATCCCTCACATAAATAAAATGAAACAACTATCGTATCCATAGATTCATCACATTCTGTTTACATTCTTGGATAATTGAAGTAGGGCATATATATAACATTGGTTCAACATCAACACCATGCGTGAGTCCACCATTAAAGAAGCGCCCCTCTACTCCACTAAGGATCACCGGTTATATGATATAAGAGTACTAGAGTCCCTTAGTATAAAGCACCTTAAATAAGCATTTACCAAGCGCTCGTAACCATTTTCCAAAATTTAATTCGTTTAGGCCTAGAGTAACCTCTTCCATCACAATCAGATTAAAAACACAGAGTTGGACTATAGGCTAAATTATCATATTCTCATTATCGCGTATGTAACTTTGTATTGGAATAGGGTGAACTCACCTCGCAGGATGGCAACACAGCAGTCTCGATACAGCAGCTACTGCTGCTGCTGTTTGGTCGAAAGAGGGTGCAGAAACGCAGCAAGAGCTGCTGTTAGGCGAAATGCAGGTGAAGAAACAGCACGCAGGCTGCTGTTTTCTGTTTGGCAAAGCGGTCGAGGTACGGCAGCCCGGTAAGCTGCTGTTTGGGCGGGAACGGACAGAAAACGCAGCAAGAGCTGTTGTCTTGGTGCAGCAGCGAAGGGCAGCGCAGCGCTGCTGTTTGACGGTGTTGCTGCTGCTGTTTTGAAGGTGCGCAGCACCCTTGCTGTCTGCTATTTTGCGTTAAACACAGGAGCAGGTGCTGTTTGGGTAAGGAGGCGAAGAACAGAACAGCAAAAATGATGTTGGCAGCTTACTGTTTGAAATGCGCAGCGCGAACGGGGTGGAAGAACAGCACGACAGGGCTGCTGTCTGCTGGTTGTTTCGAGATGCACGTAGCGGTCTTGGTCTTCACTGCTCCTGGCTGCTGGATTCAAGGGAGTGAAGGGCAGGGCAATAGCGCTGGCTACCTGCAGATGTCGCTGCTGTTCGACGGAGAAGAACGGAGGCCGGGCGGTAGCGCCTGCTACCCGTTGCTATGCAGCATCTGTTGCTTGCTTGGCGGCTGGTGGTTGCTGTTTGTTTTAGGCGGACAGGTGAAGAAGCAAACACAGCAGCATTTGCTGCTTGGTTTAGGCCGAAGGTGAAGAAACAAACACAACAGTGTCTGCTGTTAGGCCGATAGAAGAAGGAGCAGCAATTCAAACTTACACATTTTGGCGAGGTGCGAAGGTTAGATGTGGCTGGTGATCGGGTAGGCACAGCTGCTGACCATTTTCACCCTGATGAAGTTTTTCCTCCTTCCTCCTTGATTTCCTTCCTCTTTGATTTCCTTCCTCCTAACCTTGAATGAAGGGCTTTCTCATTTTTCTTTTTCCCAGGTGCAGACTCTCTTCTCCCCCCAGTAAAACCACTCAGTCTTCTTTTCAAGCTAGAAGAGGTAGGCAAGGACTCAAAGTACAAAGAGAAATTTCCATGGTATGCAAAGTCTGGAAGTTAGGATCAAAATGTAGAGGGTAATGACCCCCCCTCTTTTTTTATTTTTTTTTAAACAATAAACCCTTTTTAATAACCCACTCAAATCCAAGGCTTATAATAATGCATTATCCCTTTAATTTTTTTTCTTAGAGGCACATAAATAAATAACAAAGAGGGTCTAACTCAATGTATGCAGATAAAAATATAACGATAAAGAACACGCTTACCAAGCAGACGAGACGGAGGTGGAGAAAAGGAATACTAACGCGACTGGAGTAAAGGAAAAAAAAGACATAAATTTCCAGGTGTTACAATCATCCTCACCTAGGATCAAATTTCGTCCTCGAAATTTTCGTTCATGCGAAAAGGCGAGGGTAACGCCTCTTCAAGTCTTCTTCCGCTTCCCACGTTACGTTCGACCCTCGGTTATGCTTCCATTGAACTTTAACCATGATAATCTCCTTGTGCTTCAATACTTTGGTTTTTCTTTCCAAGATGGCTTCCGGTTCTTCAATGCACCGATTGTCCTTATCTACATGAATTTCCGAAAGTGGTATTACACTTTCCTCTTCGGCCAAACACTTACGTAGGTAACACACATGAAATGTGTTGTGGATTCCGGCCATTTCAGGTGGTAATTCTAATCTGTAAGCTTGGAGTCCTACCTTAGCCAGGACTTTAAACGATCCAAGGAATCGGAGACTTAGCTTCCCGCGCTTTCCGAAATGGGTAATGCCTTTCCAAGGGGACACCTTTAGCATTACACGGTTGCCCACTTGGAATTCCATAGGTCGGCTTCTCTTGTCTGCATAACTCTTTTGTCGATCTTGAGCCGCCTTTAAGCGTCCCCGAATACACTTCACGTTATCGGTTGTTTCCTGAACAATCTCGGGACCAGCAAACTGTTTCTCACCCGCTTCTAGCCAACACACTGGAGTTCTACATTTTCGTCCGTACAACGCCTCGAAAGGTGCCATTCCTATGCTGGAATGATAAATATTGTTATAGGCGAACTCCACCAGGGGTAGGTGAGAATCCCAATTCCTGCCAAAATCGATAACACATGATCTAAGCAAGTCTTCAAGGGTTTGAATGGTTCGCTCGCTTTAACCATCGGTTTGAGGATGGTAAGCTGTACTCAACTTCACCCTCGTTCTCAACTCTTTCTGTAAGCCGCTCCAGAAATGGGATGTGAATCGTCTATCTCGATCCGATACTATTGACAACGGTATACCGTGTCTTGAGACTACTTCGTCGATGTATAACTTGGCAAGCTTCTCCATGGGCAACATTTCACGCATTGCTAAGAAGTGAGCGCTCTTTGTCAGCCGATCAACCACTACCCAAATCGTATCATGGTTTCTTAAGGTCTTCGGCAGTTTGGTCACGAAGTCCATCGTAATATGTTCCTACTTCCATTCGGGAATCTCCAAGGATTGGAGGCTACCATAAGGTCGTTGGTGCTCTGCTTTCACTTGCAAACATGTCACRCACCTCTCTAYRTAACGAGCCACATCCAGCTTCATAACAGGCCACCAATATGTCAATTTCAAATCTCGGTACATCTTGGTGCTACCCGGGTGRATGGAGTATTTAGACTTGTGCGCATCTTCTAGTAACAGTTCACGATTTCCCCCAACCTTAGGTACCCATATACGACCTTGAAACAACTTTAAGCCACGACCATCCTCCGTAAGAAGTATGTGTTGTTTCATCATAACCTTGCTCTTGAGGTTTTTCTMCAAAAGTGCTTCAGACTGTGCCACCTTGATCCGATTGATCAAACTGGACATTACATCAATCCTGGTAAGCACGGCTTTCGTCCCACTATCGTACTCCTTTCGGCTCAAAGCATCCGCCACTACATTCGCCTTACCCGGGTGGTACAACAACTCACTATCGTAGTCTTTGAGTAGTTCGAGCCAACGCCGTTGCCTCATGTTTAGTTCTTTTTGATCGAAAATGTTCTTCAAGCTTTTGTGATCAGTGAAAAGCGTGCACTTGGTACCATAGAGGTAATGCCGCCAAAGCTTTAAGGCGAACACCACTGCTGCTAGCTCCAAATCGTAGGTGGGATAATTCTTCTCGTGGTTCTTGAGTTGCCTTGATGCGTATGCTATCACCCTTCCTCTTTGCATTAAGACGCAACCCAACCCCATTTTCGAAGCGTCGCTGAAGACTACAAAATCTTCGGATCCTTCTGGCAAGGAGAGAATCGGGGCTTCACATAGTTTCCTTTGGAGAGTTCTAAAAGCATTTTCTTGCTTCTCTGTCCAGATAAACTTCACATTCTTCCTAGTCAACGCCGTTAAGGAAGAAGCGACCTTGGAGAAGTCTTGGATAAATCTCTTGTAATAACCCGCCAAACCCAAGAAACTTCGAATCTCCGATGGACTCTTTGGTGGTTCCCAGTTCAACATTGCCTCGATTTTGGATGGGTCCACCTTCACCCTGTCTCGAGTGACAACGTGACCCAATAATTGGACCTCTTTGAGTCAAAAGTCGCACTTGGAGAGTTTTGCATACAACTTCTCCTTTCTTAACACTTCGAGAACTTCGCGAAGGTGCTTTTCATGATCCGACTCGTCCTTGGAATAGATGAGTATGTTGTCAATGAACACTATCACTGACTTATCAAGGAATGGTCGGCACACTTGGTTCATCAAGTCCATGAATACTGCTGGTGTATTCCTCAAACCGAAAGGCATGACCAAGAATTCATAGTGCCCGTAACGAGTTCTAAAAGCAGTTTTCATCACATCATCTTCTCTTACTCACACCTGGTGATACCCCGAACGAAGGTCGATCTTTGAGAAGCAACATGCTCCTTGAAGTTGATCAAAAAGATCGTCGATTCTAGGAAGAGGATATTTGTTCTTCATGGTTGCCTTATTGAGTTCTCTGTAATCAATACACATCCGCATGGTGTCGTCCTTCTTCTTTACAAATAAGACTGGGGCTCCCCATGGTGATGAACTCGGTCTAACAAATCCTTTCTCAAGAAGATCTTGCAATTGTGACATCAACTCTTGCATTTCGGACGGTGCCAGACGGTATGGGGCTCTAGCAATAGGAGCGGTTCCCGGAACAAGGTCGATTCGGAACTCCACTTGCCTAACGGGTGGTAATCCGGGTAAGTCTTCAGGGAATACGTCGGGGAATTCATTAACCACATTCACATCTTCCATTCTTCTTTTAACCGGTTTGGTATCTAACACATATGCAATGAACGAGGAGCATCCTTTAGCTAGACACTTACGGGCCTTAGCCGTGGATAAGAGTACTACATTCCTTTTCCTTCCTTCTCCAGAAACTAGCATTGCGTCCCCGTCCGGCAAAAGGATTCGGATCAACTTTTTAGGGCATAAGATCTCCGCTTGGTTCCCTGCCAACCAATCCATCCCAATTATGACATCAAATCCGCCTATAGCCATGGGTATGAGATCTACCCAAAATTCCTTTCCCTCAATTCCCAACACGCAGTTCCTAACAATCTCACGCACCAGAACTTGACTACCATTTGCTATCTCTATGATCAAAGCATCTTCTAGTGCACTAGGGGGCGTATGCAAAAGTTGATGGAACGTAGTGGACACAAAGGAACATGAAGCACCTGAATCAAAAAGTACGTGTGCAGGTACAGAGTTAACAACGAACGTACCCGACACTACATCCGTCGATGCCTTAGCTTCTTCGGCAGTCATTTGGAAAGCTCGGCCGGCTGCTTTCGATGTAATTTCTTTTCTTCCCTGGCCCCCTCCCGCTTTTAACTTCAGGCAATCATTCTTGAAATGACCCGGCTCTCTGCATCCAAAACAGATGGGTCCTTTGATTGGACAATCATTTCGCGTGTGGCCTGTCTTTCCGCACTTAAAGCATTTTACAGGAGTATGGTTGGTGATGCACAGACTGAGATGTTTACTACGACATTTGGGACACCACTTGGCCTCTTGTCTAGGATAAACTCCACGGTTGTTGTTGTTGTTGAGATGGTTTGGTCTCTTGGAAGGTGCATGATGACCTTCCCACTTCCTTTTTTCACCGCTAGCCGCTTTCTCTTCTCTTCCTTTGCTGTACACTGACTCCATGATCTTTGCCTCTTCGATTGCCTCTCTAAGGGTGGAGGCTCTGGAATTCCTGACCATTACCATCATGTCTGCGGGCAACCTTTTTAAATAAGCCTTCATCTTTTCTTTCTCCGATGGGGCCACATGTCCCACCAAATTTAGTTTTTCCATGAAGAGTCGTGTGTGGTCCCTCACTGACAAGTTTCCCTTCTTTAGGGTTCGGAACTCCTCTTCGATGCGGTCCATCTCCTGCTCATTGCAATATTCCTCCAACACTTTTTCCTTAAACGTGGCCCAACTCATCTTGGCTAATTCCGTAACCTCTACGGTCGATAGGGTTGCACCCCTTAACATTTGGGAGCCAAATTTCGGTTTTTGTCCCTCATCGCAGTCACAAGCCCGGAAGGCTTGCACGATCTCTCGCAGCCAGTTCATACATGCCACGGGATCATCTGACCCTACAAACTCTGGTGGTTTGCAACTTAGAAACGTCTTGTAGGAGCAGACCCTTCCCATTTGTCTTGCATCAATTGTTGCTAATTCCTGGGTTGGAATTTCATTTTCGGTGCCCCCGGATCCCACAATAGTCACGTTTTCGGCAACCGCCTCATGCTTACGATTGTTAGCATCTCTATCCTCCAATAACTTCATAAAGAATTCTTGTTGTTGGGCCATAGCTCTGTTCATGGCGTTCATCATTGTACCCATCATCCTTGATTCTGGGGTTCCTTCTACCATTACGGGGTTAGAGGTGGCAAGGTCGACCTGGGGAACGTGGTCAACTCCGCCGCCCAAGATGTTTTGTCTAGGATGAACCTTCGCGATGGTGATTCTTGGCGGTTGATCCGCGGTTGATTATGTTACCGCATGACCTTCTGGTGAGGTATCCCGTCTACTCCGAGTATTCACCATAAAGTCTGCTTAGTACAAGAGAGTAATAGAGAGTTAGAATGGGAAGAATATAGGCATATATAAAACTAACATACTACGGTATCGACACAATCATAATTTTGTAATAACAGTGCGTCCAAGCATGCTCATGCAACAACTTACTCAAAATAGCATTAGCTAAGTGGAATTTTGAATAGGTTATACATAAGAATCCTCAACACCATCGCAACAATTTCATGAATTATGTAACTCCATTGATTCTAAAGCTCTCCTATCTTAAGAGTCTCAACCCATAGCTCACGAATTAATGCTTACAATCTCAGCTTAAGTCTAGGCGTCTTAGTTCCTCACCTAGTTCACTTAAACTAGTGCATTGATACCAACTTGTAACACCCTAAAAATCTAGTTATAAGAACGCAACTAGAATATATATATATATATATATATATATATATATAGAGGGTGGTTCAAATACTAACCCAATATTTTGTGCAAACTTTGCTAACCCACATCAACCAATAATGTTGCATCTTTGGGTTTGGTTAAAATGTAACTTACATATTAATGATAAGGGTATTTAGGTCATTAGCCATTCTTATGTAACTCCCAAATATTTTAATTGGGAGTTGCAAATCCTACAATATCTCAAATTGATCTTCATCTAATAATGACATGAAGATTCAAATATGTTCATCTTATTGACAACTAATTCACATATGAAACCACCTACAACGAACATCATGCACGAACAGATATAAAGTACAGGTATCGGTTTTATCTGCACAATCCCTGTTTTTGTTAATGTGCATGTCTCATCGTCGTGCATGTGTATCACTACGAGCATGCATCAAGGTTGAAGAACATGATCATATGACCAACATATATNATAATAGAGTTATATTAATATTTTACGTCATTCTTTTTTCATGTTTCAAAAAATCCATTTATATTAATTAGATTATCATCTTCGAATGCGATTTTCAAAAAAACATTGATTTTACCTTTTTTAAGAAACTAAT